CCCCAGAGATCAAACAAACAAATCGAGGCGGCCTTGAGAAGAAGCCTTGCGGGGAAAGTCCCCATGACAACTAGCTGACATCACAAAGGTGGCCTCATCATTAAATCATTAAACATAACACCTTGTGTACAATCACGATAATCACACCGCTTAAGATCATTAGCAAAATATAAACCCAGTGTTCCCTTCCCTGGGAGAGCCAGAGGTGACAATTATCACCATTTTTAAGGGGAGAAAGGATCCCCTTCTCCACCCTGGAGCTATTAACCAGACTTGAGGGTTTTCTTCCCCTCTCCCAAGCTCTGGAGCCCAGCAAATATCACCAGCCATTTTCAAGTGATTTTCATTAAAACGTTGCGAACAAGAATAAGCAGAAAACAATTCCCTTTGGCACCTGTCCTGCTTCACTGGCCATGGGTGTCTGGTCTGAAAGGCAAAACAAGGCACAGCCTACCCAAAGCTTCCCTGCCCTTCCTCTCCCTGCCTGCAGCTGCCACATGGGGCTGCAGTGGGATGTTTACTGGGGTTCAAGTAGGTTCCAGGGCAGCTGGGAAGGCAGAGCAGCAGGGAGCCTCCTCAGCAGCCCACCCCATAACCTGCCTGGCACAGACACAAGGCTCCAATTAGTCACAAGCAGTGTCCCTCTAAGCTGCTGGACAGCCCAGTTTCACAGCAAAGTTGTCACATCTGAAAAAGTGGGGGAACAGCAGCCGTGTGCTTCGGGACACGGCTAGTTTTTCATCCCATTTCCTGGATGCGAAGGGCATGAGGGGAATGAGCTCCCTTCACCAGCCCAGGTGCAAGAGGCATGCACGGATTGCAAGCACTTTTCCCTCACTCCCTTAGCATTGAGGCAGGGAATGAAAAACTAGCTGGCTACATCTACACTGGCATGATTTTCCGGAAATGCTTTTAACGGAAACGTTTTCCCTTAAAAGCATTTGCGGAAAAGCGCGTCTAGATTGGCAGGATGCTTTTCCGCAAAATCATCTGCATTTGCAAAAGCAAAAGTGTTCTTGTGGAAATTCAAGCGGCCAGTCTAGACAGCTGGCAAGTTTTTCCGCAAAATCAGCTGCTTTTGCGGAAAAACTTGCCAGTCTAGACACAGTTGCTGTGTCCAGGAGCCCAGGGCTGCTGCCCCTACCCCACCCTCTGGAAACTGCACCCTGACTTCACAGGTGATTAATCAGCCCCACCCACTCAGAGGTTCAGGGCTTGCCTGGCGCTGACTGACCAGGTGGGGCTGAATAATCACCTGAGAAGTTCTGGGCACAGGGCTCTCCCTGCTGTTTGCAGCCTGCAGGAGGATTTCTGGCCCTGTGCTGCTGGGTTCTGCTCCTGCTCAGGACCCTTCCCCATCCAGTGCCCCTCCTCCCCGCACCTGAGCCCAGGGAGGCAAGGTGGGCTTCCTCCTTCTCCTCCTTTGCAGTTTCCCTGTGTGGAGTGGGGGTGGATTTGGTTTCACTTCCCCAGCCTAGCTGCTACTGAGCCTGCTGCTGGGAACTCTTCTCCCCTGGCCCCCTCCCCACACGGGCTCCCCATAGTCCATCTCCCCTTGCTAGTGGGTGGAGTGGTGGTGGGATTGCCTCGCTCAATGAGCCCTGCAGAGATACCTGCCTGATCCAACCCTCCTCCCCCACCTTCTTGTCTTGTCCCCACAGGCTTCCTGTTTTCTGTGCTCTGCAGTGGAGTTGAGGGAATGAGGTGGGGGGGTGAGGAGGTGGGGGGAAGGGGACATGGGGAAGGAATGGGGAGTGATGGGAATGAGGAGAGGAGGGTGAGAAGAAAAGGGGATGAGGCATCGCTGGGTTGGCGGGGGGGGCAGGAGTATGACAGGCTGTGTCTGCAGGCCCATCTAACCCTCCCCCCCACAAGCCCTGCTCCCTTAAACCTGGACTCATCCAACAAACTCCCCACACCCCCAGCCCACTGAGCCCCAGAAAGTTGCACCTGGACCCCCTTCCCACTTCCTCAGCACCTGGACCCCAGACCACACCCCACCTCTCATCGACTCCTCGCCTGAGCTCAACCAGAGTCCCATTGCCCCTACACCCGAACCCCCTCTCTGGGCCCCGTGCACCCAGATCTCTCACTGAGCCCCCCACACCCAGACTGTCCCACACACGGATCCCCCCTACAATAACCCCTTCACACTTGTCTCATGCTGGGCTGAGCCTGCCCCGCCACTCCTGGTAGGCCTAGCAGAGAGGAGCAGGGCCAGGGCCAGCCCTTACACTGTGTTACTGTCAGGTGAAGGCTCACTGCCGAGTTCCTGTACTGGGGGAAGTTGGGGTTTCAGGTGATCTCCCCACCTTAATGCAGCCTGTGCTCCCCTTTGCTAGCAATGTGAAGATGAGGGGTTTTCTTAATGGCCTTCCTGTCACAGACTTCCAGTGTGACAGTGAACCAATCATTTAACGCTTGGTCTCAAGGGGAGTTTTTCCACAGATTAAAAAACCCCACCAGTGGATAAGGAATTTAATTATCCTGTGCCTCAGTTTCTCCATCTGAAAAAAGGGATAATAATAACACTTGTCTGCCTCACAGGTGCCTGTGTAAATTCATTGGTTTTAGTTGGGTGTTTTGATGTCATCAGATGGAAAGTGCTAAGAAGTGCAATTTTGCAAAGCGTTTTTTACAATCTGAAAATCTTTCTACATTATTCGTGGATTACAGGGGACTTCCGATTGGGACTTTATGGGATGACTCCTCCTCCCCTTGTGTGATGCTGGAGCAATTTGCCCAAATGTAGGGGTGTTAATTAGGTACCTTCTGCATGTCTGGCACATGCTCCATTTTGTTGAGAAAGAAATTGCAGACAAGTGGAGGGTTTTTTTCCCCAAAAATAACTTGCTGGGGTTCAGGGATTTGGCTGGAAGGGGACTAGCACGCAGTGAGCAGAGACACAGGATCCGCAGGGAAGAGAGGAGGGAGACGGTGGAAAGGGGGAGGGGCCTGGGCTGGGAAGCTATTGACTCCCGAAGTGGAAGCTTCACCAACCGCCCGTGGTGCCTGCAATCGGTAGTGTGCTGCTGAGAACGAGAGGCCCTTATGGCTGAGAGAGCTTGGAGCATTTGCACTTTCCTTTTCTCTGTGGAAAGATGTGAGAATTCCTAAAAACAGGGGGCAGTCCAGCTTTCTACACTGGCATGATTTTCCGCAAATGCTTTTAACGGAAAAGTTTTTTTGCATTTGCGGAAAAGAGCGTCTAGATTGGCACGGATGCTTTTCTGCAAAAGCAGTTTTTGTGGAAAAGCGTCCGTGCCAATCTAGACGTGCTTTTGCGCAAAAAAGCCCCGATCGCCATTTTCGCAATTGGGGCTTTTTTGCGCAAAACAAATCTGAGCTGTCTACACTGGCCCTTTTGTGCAAAAGCTTTTGCACAAAAGGACTTTTACCCGAACGGGAGCAGCATAGTATTTCCGCAAGAAGCACTGATTTCTTACATGAGATCATCAGTGTTCTTGTGGAAATTCAAGCGGCCAGTGTAGACAGCTGGCAAGTTTTTCCGCAAAAGCAGCTGCTTTTGTGGAAAAACTTGCCAGTCTAGACACAGCCTCTGTGTAAAACCAAGCTGTAGTAAAGCAGGAACTCAACCTCAGTTCTTCAGAGGCCTCGGTGAGTGTTGTAACCCCAGTGCCATCCTTCCTCTCTCTAAGTGCAGCACTGGAGGGCATCAATACCAGCCTCCCAAAGGCATTCAGCAGCATTAACCCCATTTTACAGACAGGGAAACTGAGTCTTTTTTCTAAACCATCCTTTTCTGGGGAGCCATGCCTGTGGAAGCACTCGGAGTGAATGGCACTCCAGAAAGGGGACAGATTAGGGGGCAAGACTCAGTGTTCCCCATCTGTAAAATGGAGAGATTGCTGCTGAACTCCTTTGTCAAGTGTTGTGAAACCTATGAAAGGAAAGGACTATATAGCAGCAAGGGACAATGATGTTCATCACATGTGACAGGAGTTGCCATGATGCTTGGAACTACTGGAAGCACTGCCGTGGCCTCCTGGTCCCCACGCACCATTCTGCTGAGCTGCAATATTTTGGTCTCATTTTGGGTATTGGGCTTAGTGTGCGGGTGGTGGTGGCCTGCACAACGCAGGAGCTCTGACTAGACGATCTGCAGCTCCCTTCTACCTTTAAAGTCTCAGACTCTGCATCTGTGACAGGCTGTGGCTAGCGCTAGCCAAGTGTCAGAGCATGGAGGCCCATGGTTTTCACAAAGGGGATGGATGTGCTAGTGAATGTAGATCTGGTGTTTCTGTTCTCACTGTCTCCTCAAGAACAAGGAAACCGTTGATGTAATCAAAAGGTGGCAAATTCAAAACAGGCCAAAGGAAATATTTTTTCGTATAAGGGGATTAGCCTGTGGAACTCACTCCCACAGGACGCTCTTGAGGCCAAAATCTTAGCATAATCCAAAAGAGGCCTCGGCATTTACATGATAACACAGTTACTCACATTATCCCCTTTAATGCTAGCAGTAGCAGGGAACTGATATTAGACCTCATGGTCCAAGGTTAAAACCAATCACTGACTATTAGATACCCTAATGCTGGGGCACATCTACCCATTGTAGGCTTTTTTGCATCTTCCCCTGAAGTATCTGCCAGAGGCAGGGTACTAGACTCTGCAGGCCTGAGCCAGTTGGGCACTGTTCCCATAGGGTACCCCGCATGGAGTGGCTGGGTTCCCTTCAGACCCCTGCAGCAGCCAGCAGGGGAGCTGAAGCCTCTGCTGTCCCTGCCTTCGGCACTGTGAGAACAGGGAGCAGCCCCACTATTCCCGGGTTCACACGCAAGTGCCTTTGCCCACCGCATATGAAACTGAAGTTGCTTGGTGCCCATGAATGGGGTTTTCCATTTGCCCTGCTGCCCTGTCGTACCCAGGTGTGTTTGCAACTGACTCCCCCTGTCCCTCCCTCCAGGATCAGGGCTGCTGGTGCTGCTGCTCCCTTCCTGTCCCCCCGCCCCTTGCCCCGTCAGACCCACGTGCCTTACTTGTGGTGTTGTATCGGACGCCGTAGAAGTATTCGGGGCAAGGGCGGGCCACTAGCTGCCCCGCGGCGCTCCGGGGCCAGCATGTACCGATCAAGTCTATTGATGCGTTGCACTGGAGACCTGGGAGAGAGGGGGGAGAGGATTAACAGAGCCCCCAAAGTTAACTGCATGGAGCTCCCACCAGCAGCACCCTTGGTGAACAGAGCAAGGGGCTATAGTGGGCCTGGGGATTTGTTGCTGGTGGGACATGTGAACTACTCACAGTATCCTATTCCCATCCCCATCCCCGGCTGCATACCACTTCCCATTCCAGCTGCTTGCTGCACCCCATGCCCAGAGGCCTTGTGTCCCATTAGCCCCTCACAGCACACAGGAGGATTTCTTCCTCTGGAGCAGTCGTTGGTTATGTTTGGAGCTGTCTGGAAAACAGTGTGTGTGCATGCACACAAATACCAAAATATTTCAATTAGGCAAGTGTGCTGCAATTGCCTCATGGGAGTTGTAGTTCACTTTCTTCATGTTCCCATTCTCCTCTATAAGGCACATGCCTTGCTCAGACTACGTTTCCTATGATGCAACATGGTCAACCCACTCATGAAAGGAGACAGTAGTGTCTTGGGAGTCTCTGGCTGTGGTGCATCATGGGAGATGTAGTCCAGGCATGAAACCTGGCTCTTGAAAGATAATGAATACATAAGGTATCTGAATTACAAACTCCCACAAGGCACTGTGGAAACATACTCAAATAAAGATCTTTTGGGTTTTTTTAATCCCCACAAAATTTTCAAGGAAGGCAGATAATTTTCATGACAAATTTTGTTTAGTTGAAAAAGCCATTTTTTTTGTTGAAAAGGAGTTTTGATCATTTTTTTTTGACCAGCTGTGGTTGCTGCTCCTGTTATAAAACCCATTCTGAAAATGTGGCCAAGAACAGAATGGGCCAAGGAACTTGAAGCTGAGCCCTGGTGGAAGGTCTCTGTGCTCTACAGCCTCCAGGTCCATAGAATAAGCAAAAAGAAAATCATTTATACATTGAAAGAATAACAAGGTGTCCATCCTATGGCATGGAGGATCCTTTCTGTTGTGGGGTTACCATGTTCACAGCCTCCCTTGCCACCTCGATTGTATTAATAGTTTTGTTCCAGGTGATTTAGTGTTCAAGTTCAGGTAGGGCAAGCGGGCAGCTGCATGGTTAACAGGCAGTTATACAGTTATATTAATTCATTTGATGCCAGTAGTTGTTCTATAACCCAGCCCACCAGCTCATGGCACACATGGAAAGAATCAGCAGGTCTGGCTTCTCTTGGACCCGCCTCTCCAGTCCCCCCACGGGGTCCTATTCAGTTTTTGCAAGCACTGCATCATCGAGCACAACCGGTAGAGCAAGAGACGCACAATTTGGCTCCTGATGGTTTGGGCACATTCATTGGCTGGAGTCCATTCAAAGCATCCAGGATCAATCATGTGTCTTTTGTTGCTCAAAATAATCCTGCCCCCATCGTGCTATGTGCGTAACACTTCCTGCGTGAAAAGATTTTCGGTGCAAGGCAGATGGAATAATTCAACATCAAATTTTAAGGGTGGCTTCAAGTCTGACCTCTTTTTCTGGGTGTGAGTTTAATGCTCAGTAACTGTGGGATTATACAGGAAATCAGTTCTGTCAGGGCCATGGCTAATACGGCTAATGAAGGCAGAGTGTGTTAAGTTAGCTTTATTGAGGCCAGATTGCGGAGTTATTTATATATATTTTTTAACATAGTACAGGATGTTCTGTTGCAAAATATGTCTTTGTTACATCTGAGGATTAGATGCAAAACCGATTTCTCTGTGTCATGTCAACATAATTCAGTAATTAACATCCTGCAGCAGACTTTGCAATAGACCTTGAAAGGTGTTTGCGTAGTTTAGGGCAAAGCACTTATGGATATTGAAGAGACACTGGGCTGACATGAGTGGTTCCATTCTTTTCTAACTTGCTTTCAGTAGCGCCACATCTCAAGTACTATGAGTATGAACCTGAGCTCAGTTATCTCAATTTTGTATAGGATTTAAGAACAGCCAATGGTCCCTCTAGCCCAGCATCCTTTCTGCTGACAGTGGCCAATGCCCGGTGCCCCAGAGGGAATGAACAGAACAGGACATACTTTTGCTGACGTAAGATCAGAAGAGACGCAAGTGTATCTTGGTAGCTGAAGTGCACTGTGGGTGAGCCATGGATGCAACTGGAGATTTTACCACTCGTACTCATGTACCTACACTTCTCTCACACTACATGTAAATAAAGCTGCCCCTCCCCCCGAAAAAATTGACCCAAACTTAAATTTTTGACAAAATACAAATTTTTGTGAGAAAAAAAAATCAGTTTTCATTAAAAACCTAAAAAATGGACTCTTTGCTGGTTTTCCATTTGTTGCTGAAAACCCAGAAAGCTAAAAAATCAGCAAAAATGTTGATTTTCCAAAAAAATTATTGCAGACAAAAATAATCCCCCAGTCGTGCTACATAGGAATTGTAAAAGTGTTCAGTGTTTTGGGAACAATTCCATATTTTTCAGTGGCAAGATGTTTTTAATTGTTACTCTGCTTTTGTGAATGTTTACATTGCTATAGCAACCGTAGGATACTCATTCCTTAGGAAATAATCATGGTGGTAATTTTGAGTTGCCATGTGATCTTGAGTAGATCCCATGTAACCACACTGTGCCTCAGTTTCTCGATAGTAAAACGGGAAACTTGCCTGCATGACTGAGCTAGGAAGTGTGAGATCTGCATGATGCAGCACAGAAAAATGAGAAATCACTGGCCACTGAACAATGCAGAATATCTGTGGAGGGTAAACAGGCTGACCTGAATAACTAAAGGTTTATACTGCTTGACATTGACTCCCGGCATAATAATGGAATGGCTGATATGGTGCTCTACCAATAAAGAGTGAAAGGAGGATGGAAATATAATTAATATCAGCCAACATAGTTTTCATGGAATTTAGATCTTGTCAGACAGACTTGCTATTGTTCTGTGAGAAGGTTCCAAGCGTGGTTGATAAAGGCAGCTGTGTTGATATAATACACTTACATTTCCAGAAGGCGTTTGACAAGGTACCTCACGACTTTCTGATTCAGGAATTAGCACTACACAAAATGAATGTGGGCCCAGATGAAATGAATTAAAAACTGACAGATCTCAGCGGAGGATTATCAACGAGCAGGAGTTCCGGCTGGCTCTGCCAGACTGGGCCAGACCGTGTAAGCTCAGACCATCTCCCCTCTCTTTCCTACCATTTAACATCAAATCAGTATCTTAGATGCCTATATACAAATGCGAGAAGTATGGGTAATAAGCAGGAAGAACTGGAATTGCTAACCAATAAATACAACTATGATATCATTGGTATTACAGAAACCTGGTGGGATGGGACGCATGATTGGAATATTGGTATGGAAGGGTACGGCTTGCTCAGGAAGGACAGACAGGGAAAAAAGGGAGGAGGGGTTGCCTTGTATATTAAAAATGTACACACTTGGACTGAAGTGGAGATGAACGTAGGAGATAGCTGTGTAGAGAGTCTCTGGGTTAAGCTAAAAGGGGTAAAAAACGAGGGTGATATCATGCTAGGAGTCTACTACAGGCCACCTAGCCAGGTGGAAGAGGTGGATGAGGCCTTTTTTAAACAATTAACAAAACTATCCAAAGCCCAAGATTTGGTGGTGATGGGGGACTTCAACTATCCAGACATATGTTGGGAAACTAACACAGCGAGGCACAGGCTATCCAATAAGTTTCTGGACTGCATTGGAGACAACTTTCTGTTTCAGAAGGTTGAAAAAGCTACCAGAGGAGAAGCTGTTCTGGATTTGGTTTTAACAAATAGGGAGGAACTAGTGGAGAACTTGAAAGTGGAAGACAGTATAGGGGACAGTGATCACGAAATAATAGAGTTCATGATCTTAAGGAAAGGTAGAAGGGAGACCAGCACAATTGAGGTAATGGATTTCAGGAAGGCAGATTTTGATAAGCTCAGAGAACTTGTAGGTAAGGTCCCATGGGAAGCAAGACTGAAGGGAAAAACAACTGAGGAGAGTTGGAAGTATTTCAAAGGGACGTTGTTAAGGGCCCAAAAGCAAACAATTCCGCTGTGTAGGAAAGATAGAAAATATGGCAAAAGACCAGCTTGGCTTAACAAGGAGATCTTGCATGATCTCAAAATAAAAAAGGAGTCATATAAAAAATGGAAACTAGGACAACTAACAAAGGATGAATATAGGCAAGCAACACGGGAATGCAGGGGCAAGATTAGAAAGGCAAAGGCACAAAATGAGATCAAACTAGCTACAGGCATAAAGGGAAACAAGAAGACCTTTTATAAATACATTAAAAGCAAGAGGAAGACCAAGGACAGGGTAGGCCCACTGCTTAGCGAGGAGGGAGAAGCAGTAACAGGGAACTTGGAAATGGCGGAGATGCTCAATGACTTCTTTGTTTCGGTCTTCACCGAGAAGTCTGGAGGTGTGCCTAACGTAGTGAATACAAGCAGAGAGAGGGTAAGTTTAGAAGATAGGATACACAAAGAACAAGTTAAAAATCACTTAGGAAAGTTAGATGTCAGCAAGTCACCAGGTCCTGATGAAATGCATCCCAGGATACTCAAGGAGCTGATAGAGGAGGTATCTGAGCCTTTAGCTATGATCTTTGAAAAATCATGGCAGACAGGGGAGATTCCAGAAGACTGGAAAAGGGCAAATATTGTGCCCATCTATAAAAAGGGGAATAAGAACAACCCAGGAAACTACAGACCGGTCAGTTTAACGTCTGTCCCAGGGAAGATAATGGAGCAGGTAATTAAGGAAATCATATGCAAACACTTGGAAGGTAATAAAGTGATAGGGAATAGCCAGCATGGGTTTGTGAAGAACAAGTCATGCCAAACTAATCTGATAGCTTTCTTTGATAAGATAACGAGCCTTGTGGATAAGGGAGAAGCGGTGGATGTCATATACCTAGACTTTAGTAAGGCATTTGATACGGTCTCGCATGATATTCTTATTGATAAACTAGGCAAATATAACTTAGATAGGGCCACGATAAGGTGGGTGCATAATTGGCTGGATAACCGTAGTCAGA